GGGGCTGGCAGAGCATATTGAAAGTGGCATGGTTTGCCAAAGGAACAAACAAATCTGTCCTGGCAAAGGACATCTTGCTTGGTAAAACAGAAGGGCAGTGAACAAAGAGAAAGATGGATGGATCAAGGAGATGGATTGAGACAGTGGCCACAACAACGGGCTGAAACTTAACAATTGTGAGGATGGCACAGGACCAAGTGGTGTTTTCTTCTGTTGTCCGTAGAGTCGCTGTGAGTCAGAACTGATTTGATGGCACCTAACAATAACCTGACCGGGAATCGACTCCACGTCAATGGGTTTGCCTTTTGCCTTGGAAGATGGTACGGGGTTAGCCAAAAAGAGGGAGACCCTAAAGGTGATGGACGGACACAGTGGCTGTACCCATGGGCTCAGGCACAGGAACAACTGCGAGGATGGCCCAGGACCAGGCAGTGGTTCTTCCTGTAGTGCACAGAGTCACTAGGAATCAGGGCTGACTGCAGCACACCTAACAGGTCTGTCTGTCCAACCACCACCTAAAGTGGAAGGAGTAAAATTTGCTTGGTGAAAAACAGAAACAAGCAATAGTAAAGGAAAAATCTTCCTATGTTGCTAGCGTGCTAATAACAAAGGGGAGCCCAGAACTGGACTGGCCCTTATTTTTATTAAGGAGCCCTGGTGGTGTAGTGGGTTACACGTCAGATTACTAACCACAAGGTCAGCAGTTTGAAACCATCAGCCACTCTTCTGGAGAAAGATGAGGCTTCCTGCTCCCTTAAGGGTTTGTGTATAGCCTTGAAAACCAACAGGGGCAGTTCTACTCTGTCCAATAGGGTCAGTATGGACTTGATGGCAGTGTTTTTGGGGTCTTGTTTTGTTTGATTAGCACACCATAAAACTCTGCTTAGGTGGAGAATAGGCCACCAGCCATTCTCTACCACTTACTCCTCCATGTCTCTGGAGACGCTAACCAGTCTCTCTACAGCAGACATGGAGGAGGTAGTTCCCAGGCCTTCCAGTCAGCCACTGCATTAATGAAGCCAACATTGGGGAGAAATAGTGCATGGAATCATTTTGGCTTCTGGTTTACCCAATCAAGATCTGCTAGACTGCCATACCCTCAATGGGTGTTCTCTCCCACTCCCACCTATTCATTGTGGATTGGGTCCAAGTTTACAGAGCAGATCATTTTTCCACTCAACAATTCAGACATATTTTGTTTCATAATCATTGATTGCAATCTTCACTATAGCATCACTTATCCCACTTCCTCCCCGCATTTCCTATTTCCATCCCTTCTTTCCAAACCCTTCTGAATTTTGTTCTTGGGTAAATGCTGCCCTTTTGATCTCAAATGGTGGATCATTCTAAGGTATGTGTACCTTCCTAGTGCTACAGTTCCCTCTATAGACCTGTATTGTTGAAAACTGAGCCTTAGAGGCGGGTTCATTTCCAGACCTGAAGAATGACTATGGGCCATGGTCTTGGAAATTCCACCAGTTCCTATCTGACCAGTAAGCCTGGTCTTTTATTATTATGAATTTTGTTCCACATTTCTCTCACTTGTGCCAGTATTTTCTAATGTGCTCCTTTAGAAAGCAATCAGTAGTGGTAGTCAGGCACCATCTAGTTCTTCTGGTCTGAGTCATGGAGACATCAGTCATATGGTCCATTAGTCCATTGGGCTATTTCCATGCCTCTTCACTTTTCATCACTCATCTGTCCTTCAGGCAGGGAGAAACCAACAGTTGCACCGTAGATGGACACCCATGAGCTTTTAAGACCCATCTCTCCCCCTCGGTCATTACCACGGTAGTATGAAGAACATTGTCTTTGTGAATTGTTACCCCAATTGATCTAGGTGTCTCCAGAGAGCAAAATCCCGAGCCCCCAAGCCCCCGGGTACAGCAACTTACTAGTTATGTCATAAGTTTTAATAACTTTGTCCCCTGTATGCTCCACCACTCAATGGGTGGCCTCTTGTGCCTATTTTCAAGGTGCGTTGGAACCCACAGGGGCGAATGGCTGTGATTAAGCATCTCTCAGAACCCCAAAACATGGCTTTGCAATATTTCTATTCTCTCAAATCATCTCAGGCAAAAGAAAATCAATTCTGCACTTAAAACATAAACATGGAGGAAAAGCAGAAACTTGCCTCTCTTGGAAAGCAAAATAGCACAGGTCTAATTTGCTATTGTATTTTCGCCAACATGCTCAGACATTTCTGTGGTAATGCGCAGCTATCATTCCTACATGGGCTTTCCTCAGGTCATTATGATGCCCAGTTCTGTGGGTCCACCCTTACCAGCAAAAGAAGTTACCACGAGACATCAAGTACATAGGAAAGATGAACCACAAAAGGAAAATCATTTTCGATTCTAACCTCACTTCAATAGGGGGCTAAGTGATTTCCATCTCAGAGACTATGCAAGTCACTTAAAATAGGTACAGATGTTAGACCTCATCCACCACAGGGATGCTTTCGTTGATGCTCGAAGTGCTTAGGGAGTGTTGGGAGCGTAGTGGGTTACATGTTGGCCTGCTACCCGCAATGCCAGCAATTCAAAACCACCAGGCACTCTGAGGGAAGAGAAGGTGGCTTTCTAGCCCGATAAAGAGGAGTCTCAGAAACCCCCAGGAGTTCTATCCTGTCCTACAGGGTGGCTGAGTTGGCGCTGACCTGATGGCAGTGAGTTTGGTTTTTAGTTGAGTGAAGCGCTGGGCTACTCAAGAAGTGGTGTCACTTCCAACTTCTCACGGGCCGAGGCCTTATTAGTTATGTCATTTAAGCTCACTGAATACCTGTGTGTGCCTTGCCTATAACCAACACTCCACCAGGGTAACTTAAAACAAAATAGGAATTTATTTACAATAGCAAAGATGCCAAAAACATGTAACAAATCCCAGAATTATTTTATGAAAAAAAGCCAACAACATATAAACAATCAAAGAATAAAACCAAAATCCATAAAGGCAAACTTAATTTTAACCATATCTAAATAGCTCCAAAAGGTGGCAAATCCTCCCCCCCCCCTCAAATTATGAATCACTTAGGTAACCCTGGGGTAACTCATTTAAAGACCACACCCACATAACCTTTCAGCTCTTTTATTGGCGGAATCTTCCTCCCATTCACCTTTAAGCATGTAATTGTGGAAGGCTCCTGCAAGATTTATAGGACCAAATTTAAGAAGCTCAGGCTAAATGTATAAACTGCCCCAGTTCTACATCACCCCCACTAATTTCAGACTTTTGTTTTTCATGTAACGGATTACACGTTGGGCTGCTAATCACAAGGCCAGCAGTTCAAACCAAAGCAGCGTCTGCAGGAGAAGACAAGATTTTCTGTTCCTGTCAATTGTCCAGCAGCTTAAAGTCACAGGGGCAGTCCTTCCATCTGATAGGGTCACTATAAGGTGGAATCAACTCAATGAAAGTGAGGTTTTCAACCACACAAAATGAAGTTCAAGTGCTCTGAGAAAATGGTTCTCAAGCAGAAGGGTGTATCTGGGTGAGACCCAAGATCTGTCTACCAAGTTGGGAAGTGAACATGCTGATCTTCAGAGCCCCCAGAGAATAGGATAGTACCTTATCTGCTTGGTTGGGATCCCAGGCCTGCTGAAGTACTAAAAGTAGTGACATTCCCCAAGTTCTCTGGATCATTTAACTCAAATTTGGATTCCTTAATTTTTCAACTATTTGGCACTGCAAGACCTCTTTAAAAATCAAAGACAGCTCAGATCTGTACCCTTCTCTTTTGACTCCTGGTCACTGTTCCCCAACTTTGTTTTCACTTTGACAATGATGTAGCACATTAGAATTTACTAGAGCCCTCCAAACTGGGAAGGGGCTCCTGTTGTGGAGGTGGGGATGGTTCCCGCTGATTAGCTGTACTGAGGGTCTCTACTGACATGAACTCCAAGGGCTCTCAAGAACCACATTCTGCCTGGGCAAGTGATTGCAGGAGAATGAGAGATGCTAATAAACAAACCTTTTATGAAAGAACATGCTCACCAAAAGAACTCACCACTCTCTAACTTCCCTGAAATATTAACTTGCAAATTCACAGGGCTGGAATAGTAGCAATATTTGCATCTGAATCACAAAATTCAAAGAAATCAAACAGTTTGTGCATTCCACGACTGTATAGAACGAATTAAGGAATGGGGAAATGAAAATAATCCACTGCTTTTGATGTTTATTAGGTTTACAAAAACTGTACATTTTTTTTCTTAAGAAAAAGCATTAACTTAGTACTGGTATCAAATAGACTAAACATTAACAGGAAAATATTCTGATTTTTATTTTTGCACGTTATTCTCAAATACACAATTACAATAATGTCACACATCCCTATATGATTTTATTTTTAGGTATTTTACTATTTTTTCTTTTTTTACAAAGTATACAGAGGGAGGGACATACAATATTTAATAGGATATTTCTACAGAACAATAACTTATATTATGTCCTTGTAAAAATCTGTACCTCTTTAAAACGTTTAACTGAAACATCCATTTTTTAGCTTTGCTAATCAAAATTGCTTTAAGAGTTAAAACTAGGTTGTAACTAATGTCAGTACATAACAGTGACTACAATTTTCTCTTTATACAGACAAACACATTTTATATTTACTTGACCAAACCCTTAAATACCTTTTAAAGGTTTCAATATTGTGCTTTAAAAAGAAAAAACAAAACAAAACTGTGAATGATTCCAGACTATGTAAGAGAAATAGAAAGGGTGTAAAGTGTTTTTTTCTCTCCATTTATGTAAAAAAATATAGATGACCAATTATTTCTATTTTCTGCATTAATTTCAAAAGATGTTTTTAAAATTCTTACATTTTCACTTTTGTGTATGTGTTCTCTTTTACATTAATTGAGGGAGAAATAAAATTTATGGGAGATTTAAGTTTTCACATATTAAGAAAAAAAAAACAAAAAAAAATCCACCAAAAAAACAAAACCACCACCATCACCACCACCACCACCACCATGGGTGGGGGGGGGGGGGGGGGGGGGAAGTTTTACATAATAGTACTGCAGGGCAATGAATTACAAAATTACGAGGTTCTTGATTTTTAATTAAAAAAGCTTATTATTATGGGGGTCAACCAGTTGCTGTTGAGTTCAAATCACGGTGGCCCCATATACATCAGAATGGAACTGTGAGCTCTGGTGGCACAGAGGCTTAATAAACATTGGGCTACTAACCACCAATATCAGGAGTTCAAGGCCACCCGCCTCTGAGGGCAAGAGAGGAGGCTTTCTGCTCCTGTGAAGTTTCAGCCTCGGGACATACAGGGGCTGTTCTACCCCGTCCTACAGTGTGGGTTGTTGAAATCCATCCAGTGGCACCAAGTTTGAGTTGGTTGTTTTCCTTAGGGTTGGCTTTCAATGTTTGACTTTTCCTAGGTAGACTACTAGGCCTTTCTCTGAAGCATCTCTGGGCGGACTTGCCCTTCAAACCTTTCAGTTAGCAGTCTAGTACATTAGCCTTGTCTTAACCATGTACAACACCCAAGGATTCCTCCAAGAGGGCACAAAACCCCCAAAATCCATCCGTTGGTTTTGATTGGCATTTAGATTGAAGTTCTCATTGGCCCAAAGAATTTGATTTCGAACTAGACTTCACAGGCTTGCCAAACACCAAATATTTAGATTTCTAACCTTATCAATAGAACTCTGAAATACAAATGGCAATGGCAAAGAGAACAGTGAGACGTGAAACCTGAACTGCACGGAGGGGCTGGAGCACCATCATTAAGTGGCAACGTGGGTAGGAAAATGTTCTTTTCTTCCAACGTATCAGATACGTACGTGCCAATGGCCATAATAAGGGACACCAAAGAGTGTGCTCGGGTCTCCATGAGTCACAACACCAACTTTATTCACCATTAGTTAACAAAAAGACATCTTACAAATTTATGACTCTAATTTCCAGCAATTTGTTTAAAACAATAAAACAAAACAAAGAAGTCACCTCTCAGTGAAAAAACTAAAACTGTGAAAGACTTAGTGAGATTCCAAATAAGGCCTCAGAATTTCATTATGCACTTAAAACATTTTTATCTACTAATCAAAGCCAACGGGCATGTTAGGTTATTATCATTAAGTCTGTTCACTGTAACTGTTTTAAGAAAAAATAGCAAGGCAGGCTGACCTTGCCAAGTGTGAGTCATCATTAGCACCCACTCTGTCACCTGGAGCCAATGCTGCCCCGCAGACTCCTCTCTCAGTGAGACACACAGTTCTCTCCCTGGCTTTTGGGGAAAAAGACCCAGGAGTTGTGCCTGGCTACTCATCAGCTTTTCAGGGGGGGGAAAAAAAAAAAATATATATATATATATATTACGACACACACACACACACACACACATATATATATAAAGGCATGAAGCTGAAATTGTATGAAACATTCTATCTAGAATCAACTTCTATTTGTCAATTTATCAAGATAATTAAAGGAAAATACCTTTACTCTTTAAAAATACTAGTGTCCTTATTTTCCTTCTAATTCTTCACCTGAGTAGTCTCTCTGAAGAGCATCATTCACAGAATGCCCTCTCATACATCCCTGGATCTTTCATGTTATTGTAAATTTAATACTTTTCATTATAGATTTTAAAACAACTACTACTTGGGGTTGTGTGTATAAATACATAAAATAAGCAATACACACAGATACATGTTATATATATGTGTACTTATATATAATTCAGGGTACATTTACATATATAAACTTGCAAAAGATTATATGAGTCACGAATTACTTCCAAGAGATTCCAAAATTCAGTCTTCAAGAAGTCTCATTGGTAGCACACAATCATTCCAAGACAAAGCAGCACAGACAGAATAATAAAAATACAACAGGGCCGAGCAAAAGTTATCAATAAGGGTTTCTAAACATTTGCTGGGTTGACAGAAGGTGGGAATATGCCAAAGAAAGTCGTTACTTTGTCTGCTACATCAAATGAAAAGGAAACACGAACCTGACCAGTTCTTTCACTCAGTAATTCTAAGGACACAAAAGCTCAACTGGAAACTGTCAAGTGTCATGGGGTCTGAAAAGAGTATTAAGCAAGACAAGTAAATGACTTCCATGTTATGATCATTAGACCTGACTGTGAAATCTCTCATTTATATTAGTAGCTGTCTCTGATTTTATTGTGAGAAATACGGGCGCGGGGCAGGATGGGGCTAAGGGAGGTTAAAAAAAAAAAAAAATCAACATGAAATACTTGCAGAGTTACCAATCTAAAGTTACCTTAACTTTAAGTTAAATGGTCTTAGAAGAGTACCATAAAGGCAAGCAATGTAAATATTTAAATAAATATAAAACTTCTAAGATAAAAAAATTCCATAAACAATCAGGGATTACTTTATTAAAAGCAGCTGACTTGTTGCCGCTTTGCCCCAAATATTAAACAAACTGGGTGGAATTCTGAACACACTATTGAAAAATTGGTTATTAAAAAAAAAAAAAGCAACTAGAAGCCATAATTCTATTTGTACACAGCATAAATCAATATACAGTATTATATGTGGGCGTGACTAACTGGCTTTAAAATTAATTTCCGCATCAAGGCCAATCTCTCTACGCAAGTCTGTAGAGAGAACGTTAGGACAGGTCAACTTCTTTATGATGTCGCATTATGTGCTGGTTCTTTTCTGAGGGTCTCCGGAACCCCTTCTTGCAGTACTCACAGCGGTGAGGGTAGTCTTTTGTATGGATGGAAATAACATGTCGTTTGAAGCCTGAGGCATCGGTAGTGCTATACTCACAGTACTCACACTGGTACACCTTCCTGCCACTGTGGGTCTTCATATGCTTTTTAAGCTCATTCTGTTGTCTAAATCCCTTTCTACACCTCTTGCACCTAAATGGGAGATCCTTCGTGTGGACTGAGAGAATATGGCGACTGAGAACAAACGGATCTGCGATCTTAAAGTCACAATGTCTACACTGGTGCATTTTTTTACCCTTGTGGGCAGCCACATGTTTCTTGAGTTCAGAGGGCCGGTGAAAGCCCTTATCACACATGTCACACTTGTGTGGGTAGTCCTTAGTGTGAACTGAAATTATGTGTCGCTTCAAATCACTTGAGTTTGAACTCTTGTGGTCGCAGTGCAAACACTGGTGTGTTTTGCTTTCTTGGTGGATAAGAGCATGTTGCTGCACCTCTTTGGTATCTGAGAAAGTCAGGAGACAAATGTCACACTTGAATGGCATCTCTTTACTATGCTTCGTTTTTACATGTGTTTTCAAGTTAGAAGAGTCTGCAGACCTATATTCGCAGTACTGGCACTGGTACGGCTTCTCCCCAGTATGGATTCGCATGTGCTTTTTGAGCTCTGATGGGTGGCGAAAACCTTTACCGCACTCCACGCAAATATGAGGGAAGTTCTTGCTGTGGACGGCCAGAAGGTGGCGATTCAATAACCCTTGCTCAGCCGTTTCGTATTCACAGAATTTACACTTGTGCATTTTGTTGGCTCCTTTCTCCTTATGCACCATTTTGTGAGTAAACAAAGCCCCAGTGTGAGAGAAATGCTTCCCATACTCGTCGCATTCAATGGCCTTCTCCGCCTTGCTGGTCAGCTTGTGGCTCTCGAGGTGGTTGTGTAAACTTATCTTCTTGTTGGTAGTGTAGTCACAGTCAGTACAGCGGTATTTCTTCTTGGTCAGGTGTTCTGGATGGTTTTTCATGTGCCTTTTCAAGAAGCCTCTTGACTTAAACTTTTTCCCACAAATCATGCACGGATACACAGTCAAGGGATGTCCATCAGGGCCAATAATTATTGCTAATAAAAGAAAAAGAAAGGTTCATAAGACATCAAGGTTCTCTGCTGCTTTCATCAAGAATTCCAACTTTGTGTTCTGAACCTAAATGATACTGTTTACTACCTAACATTCCCTTGACCAGTTTTCAACATAAGAGATCTATAGCCACTTCATCCTAACAAGAACCTGGTCTGCAAACCTCATTCGGCACTCCTCTACCCACCTCACTCCTGCTGGTTTAAAACAACAACAGGGAGTAGATATGTAATTTCTATCAACTAGTGACTGAAGCTGTATTAATTTAGCACTCTGTGGACATGTATTCATTTAAAAAATGCTTGCTCATCAACATTTTGTTTTGGTTATTACAAAAACCTTAACAGGTTAATTTACAGTCCTATCAAATACAAATAAAAAAATTCACATCACTGAGTTGATTCTGACTTATGGTGACCCCGTAGGACAGGGGAGAACTACCCCCCTAAGGGTTTCCGAGGCTATAAATCTTTATGGGAGCTGACAGCCTCAACTTTCTCACACGGCCCACCCAATATACAAGGAGGCTTCAAAATGCTTGTGTAACTTTCATTTCACTTTTAAACAATCTTTATACAAACAGTGTACAAGACAGGGCTATGCCATATGAACTGAAATAATTTGTCTTAATGCTCTCTGTACATGATGTCTGCCTTGTGCTACTATAAATACATTCTTTTTAAAGTTACTATCTGTAACGTATGAGGGATTTTTCATTTCTACTTATCACCACCTAAGTTCTAAAAAGAAAAAACTTTCATCCATGTTTGCTCCATCTCCAATTCCTTTTGATCAGAGGTAATCATTCATGAATATCACTCAAGTCTTAAAATTAGAGTGTCAAATGCAATACCGAAACTACCTGAGGTCTAACAGCTACAGTGCCGCCGCAACGCCTCTAGGGATACATGCTAGAGTGCAGACCGGGAGTGGGCAGAGGACGCTGCGCTGTGGAACTTGTGGGCCCTCACCTGTTTGGTATTGCCTGGAATCAGGTCTTCTCCTTTTCTTTGGTTTTTGTTTAGCCAGTCTGCCGAGCCCAGCAGACTCATCTATGTGCAAGAGGGCACTTGCAGTGCCATTCCGGTTTTCAATTCCATCAGTATTATTACCTAACAATGCGCATTGGAAAACAAAATTATACAGTATTATCAGTGATAAAGAATCAGGGCTTCTTTAATAACTACCACAAAGACAATTAAGCCATGATACTCATGAATGACAGAAACTCCCCCTTCTATAGGCTATAGGTTTTATAAAGCCCAATCGAAGGACAGGCCTTGTTTCCAAATCTGAAAACCACACGCCAGCACTTTGCCCTGTGGACGCCTTTGTTGTCGCCTTGAACTGTAAAGTCCTGGGCTACAAATGATCAAGAGGAAACGGTTCAGCTAACAAGTCTGTGAACTTCTTGCAGTACTTCCTTCTGCATGATACACCGGACATGAAGGAAATGCCTGGTGAAAATAAAGACTAAAAGTAGACTTCATAATCTGCCTCTACTCTCCTTTAAATCAAATAAACTTTACAGGGGACTGGGATTTCAGATGGCTAAAACCTAAGCCCAGAGAAACTACGTTAAAACCATGAATTCATGTTTAAGGAGCAACCAACTTGAGCCTCAGAGTTGCTCTGAGACCTACCATAAGCAGCTGCCCACGCAATTGGCATGAAGGTTTTGATTTCATTGTCGTCTATCTGTTGTTCATGTGCAGCGGCAGCAGCGGCGGCGGCGGCGGCGGCATCTTCCTCTCCAACAATCACTTCCATATAAACCTCGTCGGCAATTTCAGCAACATCTACAGAGAAAATCATACGAGCTTTCATGACATGGTTTCCCGTTCACCAGAAAGAGATTTTAATTTGAATCCAGTTAATAAACAAATTGTCATAAGGGTTCCAATGTCACATGCATTCACAGAGTAAGCACACAAATATTTGTTGAATGAATCATTCATTTCTTGACTCTCACCATAATTTGTTTTCATTTTCTAACAGTTTTATCGGCATATAATTCACATATCATACAATTCAATAGCTCAATCACCTTAAAAAGAGCTGTTCAATCATCACCACGATCAATTTTAGAACATTTTCTTCTTTCACGTACTGTTTGTTATCAGCTCTCCATTTCCCTCCAACCTCCCCTGCCATACCCCCATCCCCCCACGCCAAGAAAACCATCAATTAAGTCACTGTCTCTATAGCTTTACCCATCCTGGATTTCATATAAAGAGAAACAAAACAAAACAGTAATACCAAAGTAAAGCAACACTCTAAAAGTACACAAAGAACTGCTGATGTTACCCCTTGCAATATAGCAGAATACACTCTACAACACTACTCTTCCTTTTCCTTCAGAAACTGAGTGGGAAAAAAGAACTGTGTGTGTGTGTGTGTGTGTGTTTGTAAGGAGTGTACAGAAACAAAGTTTTCACCCATAAAAACGCCACCTACTTAAATCCTCATCTTCTTGCTGAGAGTCATTTACAGTCATATAAACCATCTTTTCCCTGGGAACACGAATACTGTTGCTCTGGTCAAGTAGTTCCACTCCATGATCATTCTCAGGCTCACTCTCCACAATGTCCACTGTTCCACCTATCAGGGAAGAGGGCAGCTCTAAGAATTTATGTGAAAACTTCATTTCTTGTTTCATTTTATTGCTGTCCACATACTTTTATACTGGTTACTACATTAAGATTCTTCTTAAAAAAAAGTTTTCTTTAGAAAAGATTTCAAATGTTCTCAAACTAACCCAAGAGTCATCAGGTGGAAGAATCAGGAGCAGGATGTAATGGACGGAAGGAAAGTTTGCTCTTACCTAAGTCATCCTCCCCAGGGTCAGCTTTAAAAATGTAGACTTTGATGACTTCAGGACAAGTGCCATCCACTTTACAAGGATCGATTTCTGACTCTGCATCCATGGTCATTCCAGAGGAACCATCGTGTTCGATTTTGCCAGCATCATCCACTGGAAAGGCAGGAAATACATCACAAATGACATTAGCATATGCTCCCATAAAATGTTCCCATTTTCAAACATCCTGATTCGCATTAAAACTGGGATATGTGACCAAGGCAAGTAGAAGTCAATAATTAAAAAATTAAAAGTCTTATTAACACTTAAAAAAATGAAATTGATAATGAAGGCAAAAAATACTCTGCCTTAAAAAGAAAAAAAAAAGCCTAGTGAAATAATATAATAATATGAGGGGACTTCAAAATGTTTCAGAAAGTTTATGGTAAAATTCCATTATCTTTCATTCCACTTTTCCACGAACATTTTTGAAGCCCCCTTGTATAGCTATGATTCAATCGTTTGTTCAATGGTATAAGGCATAAAATGTTCATTTAAGGGAAAGGAAAATTTACCCAATGGGAGGGTTCTGGGAAGGCAACTCAAAGGGACGAAGGGTTAAAGAAAAAAGCATGATGAGAGAACTGAAGACAACCTAAATGGACCTTCTCCTCTGGGCCTTGATCCAACTCCCCTCTGCTTGGCCTTCAACTCTGCCAGATAGGCCCCGTGGGCTGAGCCACAGAGAAAACATTTCTGCAGTGTTTCTCAAATGGACTCAGCATTGATAAATTCAACTTTTTTAAGAGACGAGACTGCCAAATTTAGTTAGATTGTCAAGTTTTCATTAGCCTTTACCACACTTTCTATCGTGCTACACTCATATATTAGCCTCTCATCTAGGTTTTGGAGACAAATATAAGTAAGTTATGAACTCAAGACGTTAACAGTCTGTAGAGAAAAAGCAAACAAGTAAGCAAAGTCATTTGAAAATGCAGTAACAACACAGCGTCCCTATGTTGAGTTGGGACAGTACTATCTACATTTTACAATAGAGCAAACTGACTTAGAGAGAGTGAATGACTTATGGGGAGCCACACAGAATTCAAATCCCAAATAAAGTGACTTTCATTTAGAGTTCACCAACCTCCGAGGTTTAGAGAGTTGTTTCATGGGGTTTCTATCGTTAGAAGCAATGGTGATTTTTGACAGGGTGGGGAGGGGGCGGCGGCTAAACTGTCTAAAGATGATCACCATGTTGTGTAACCATGTGGTGGTGGTTTTGATTCCGATAAAGTTTTAAATTCATAGTCATTGTTTGTATAATGTACATCCAATTTAAGCCACCAATAGAGACAGAACTTAGATTCTGACATTTTTGAAAAGATACTCATGCAAATTCCTGTCATGTAGATCTAAAAATTACATTTATCTAAATCTAAATTCTTACACAAAACATCAAGATGAATGTGGTTGTTTCAAAAGCCAACATTAAAAAGCAAAAATACAGTGACAATTTATACAACTTGTCTTCGGACTTTCATAAACCCAGACCATCCAGATCCCAAATAAATTATTTGCTGGGAAATGTTTGCAAATAGCATCCCGAAGCCTTCGTTCTTATTTATTTTTTCATTTGCCAACATGAAAGCACCACTTAATCATTGTACTTCAAATGCAAGGGGCAGTTTCGTTTTAGTCTTTTTCTGACACTGTAACATCATGATGTGGCAGAGGATATTTCTACATCCATATTTGTATGTGCTGCAAATATACCCAGGTAAGCAGTACAGAGGGGAAAGTTACACAAACTTCTTAGCCATAACCAAACACCTCGAGAGGCTGAGTCACTGGGCAATACACAGTCCATAAAGGCAATGTTTTTTCTCCATTTTACTTTGGTATGCATTGACTGCAGTTTTGGAAGCTTGTAAGCTACCATCTATGATGCAACTATTGGTCTCTTCCCATCCAAAACAAAGAATGAAGAAAATCAAAGAGTCAAGGAAACAGTCCAAAGGACTAATGGACCACACGAACTATAGCTTCCATTAGCCTGAGACCAGAAGAATTTGATAGTGCCTGGCTACCACTACTAACATCTCTGATACGGATCATGATTAGAAAGTCCTGAACTTGGGGGAGGATGGGGGGCATGGATAGAGAACAAAATTCAAAATCACAAAAAGACTATAGATTTACTAGTGTGATAAAAGACTAGTGGAACCCTTGAGATGAAGGCCCTGAGGTACCCTTCAAACCTAAAACTTAACTCACTCTCAGAGATCACCTTGTAAGCAAATAATAAGCCTCTAAAGTGAACAACACCCGTGAGAAATGTGCTCCTCAAAACAGTCAGTCATATGAGACCAAAAGGCAGCAACTGGCTCAAAACAAAGATCAGCAAGCAGGAAAACACAGGAACGATGGGCTAATGGAAATGAGAACTCCAGGGAGGAAGTAAAGGAGCACTATTACATTGAGGGGATTTCAATTAATGTCACACAGCAAAATGTGTATCAACTGTTGAGTGAGGAACTAATTTGCTTTGTAAAGTTTCACTCAAACTACAATAAAATGTGTTTTAAAAGTATACAGAATAAAAAGGGGCTTAGAATAGTGAAAGCAATCTTGAAAAAGAGCAGAGTAAAGTACATATACTTTCAGATCTGAAAACCTAACAAGAATACAGCAAGCAAAGTAGGCAGATACTGTACAATGACAGTTTATCAATGTAACAAAACCGAGAGTCCAGAGGTGCACATCTGTAGTCAATTAATCTTCGACATGAGGATTAAGTTCATCTAATGGAGAAAGAATAGTCTCTTTAATAACTAGTATTTAAAGCTGAATGAACAATCTGGAGGAGAAAACAATGGGACCGACAGTTCGGGGGGT